GTCACAGCATGTTCCAGGTGTGTGTGTGTGTGGATATATGTATGTCTGCGTGTATGTCTGTATGTATGTCTGTATGTATGTATGTATGTATGTATGTATGTATGTATGTGTATACATATATATATGCATAATGGAAAATCTCTAGCATGCCGAAATATGGGAGCCCACACAAACAAAACTATATATATATATGTGGAAATACCCATGTACATATTCATCTACATGAACACGTACATGCACACGCATAGGTATACGTACTGGTATAGGTATAGGTATACGTATAGGCATAGGTATTAGGTCTCAGGTATAGGTATACGTGTAGAGGTACAGGTACAGATAAAAGTCAAGGTACAGGTATATGTGCACGCAGATGTAAATTTATGCATGTATCTGTATGTGTATATTTACATGTATATGTGTACATACATACATATATGTATATATACATGTATGTACATGTATATACATACGTACCTACATACATACACACATAAAGACATAAAGACATAGATACGTAAATACATACATACATACATACATACATGCATGCATACATGCATGCATGCATACATACATACATACATACATACAGGCAAATATACATATACATATGTATATATATATATACATATACATAGGTATATATAGGTAGATTCAGGTATAGAAGAAAAAACACAAATGCACCTGGCGGCTACCGGCGTCCGGGACGCGGCTGGCCTGGCCCCTGCGTGCACTCCGAATCGTCGGAAAGAAGCAGTAGCAGTAGTAGTAGGGTTTAGGTTTTAGGCTTTAGGGTTTAGGGTTTGGGGTTTAGTAGTGGTAGTGGTAGTAGTAGTAGTAGTAGTAGTAGTAGTCGCAGTAGCAGTCAACACGTACCGAGACTAGCATAAATCCTTTGGAAACCCTCAAGTTCCTCAGAGTACTACTCGGAGGTTCATGGATAGCTACAAGCCCCCGTTAATGTGGGTCATAACTAGAGCTACCCTACTTTGAAGCCCTCCTATAATGCTACCCATGAACCTCCAAGTAATGACTCCAAACGCTATTTGCCCTACTTTTAAGCCCACTGTTTATACTACCCATGAACCTCCAAGCAATGACCCCCAACGTTTCGGTGCTGGCCTGTCGCGAACGAGCACCGGCGGTTTCGCAGTCACCGGTACGGCCTGGTGTTGGGCCCAGGGAGTTTGCAACGCTACAATGAGGTTTCTACACGATGTTGTAGACGCCTAGGGATTTGACTGAAAAAACCCTAACCCTCCAGGTACTTACTATACAGGGCCCTAGGGGCTCCAGTGCCCTATATAGTAGGTACCTGGAGGGTTAGGGAAAATTGTATGATTCTTACGACTTGAGCAGTTTTGGTGAGTGTTTGTGGTTCAGAGTTTGAGCTCTGTGCTCTTATAGTCGGGCGACTGACAGGTGGTCTTGGCTGCAAGAAACGGTGTTAAGTCGCAGCGACGGCAAAAGCCGAACTGATAAGGGAAAGTCAAGCAAACCAAGAACCGTGGGCACTGAAAACGAACTCTTCAACGCCAATGAGCCCCAGGCCCTAGACGCTGAAATCAAAAGCCCCGAAACCTTCAAAGCTGAAACCACACATCAAACCCGAAGCTCTTTACAACCCCCTGAAGCCACTAATCCCGGAATACCCTCTATACTAGCCTTGCGGTAACCCTGCTAGAAACTTCCATGGCTACCTGTAAAGCACCCTTTCTAGGCTTTGCTATTGTTGTAATCTTCGTCGTCGTCGCAATAAAACAAGAAGCAAGAGCGAAGATAACATAAATGATAGCACGTATTATTCTCATTAAAACTGTTACTGTTCCTTTTGATTACCGGAAACCTCAACCCTGAACCCAAAACCCTAATATAAGGGCCTTAATAGCTAGAATTGGGTTCTGGGCTCCTTTCTAGTATAAGTATAATAAGGAGCCCTAAGAATAATGTTGGTAATTATTTAGGCTTCTACATTAACCCTAAGCCCTAAAACCCTAAACCCTAAGCCCTAAAACCCTAAACCCTAAAACCTAAGCCCTGAAACCCTAAAGCCCTAAAGCCCTGTGCCCTAAAGCCCTAACAGCCTCAGCCACGTCATCGTCCGAGACAGGCTTCGGCTCGGCAGCGACTGGCCGTGTGCTCGGGCCCTCTTCCGTGCTTTGGGTTTGGGAGTCCTTCAAGGGATCTATATACATAACAAAGTTCGGGTTTAGGGTTTAGGGGTTTAGGGTTTTTGGGTTTGGGGGTTTTAGGGTTTTTTTTAAGGGCTCTTTTCCGACTGCACGAAGTCTCGGCTACGGAATCCACGGTCGTGGCGAGCTTCTGGGCGGGGCGATTCGCCATACCCACTCAACAACTACTCATCTTTCAGCACCACACACAGCTGATACAAGACCCAAGAGCCTCCCAGTACCCTTCAGAAGCAACTAATCCACTCACAATGCACCCTCTCAACCATCCATCAACGTACCCCAAGGAGCCAACTTCTCATCTCAGACGGCCTGAACCTCACCTCTTTGAACAGAGTCTAAGTGGGCCATTGTACTCGTCATACTCATGGTCAAAGTCGAGCTGGATAGCGAGGTGCTCAATGTCGTGGATGTGGTAGACGATGGCAGACCAGTCTCTCGCGCCAAGCCTTGTGGTACCCCTGCTTCACCAAGTGTAGCCTCATCAACGTCAAGAACATACTGAGCCTCCATTAAGTCCAACAAGTTGGCAATCAGACGTCTGAGGTGCTTGAGATCGAGACTTCCTCCGTCCGCTCGGTGACCATCCACCATCGCTTTGCAAAGAGCGAACAGGAGTGGTTGATGTATGCAGCTAGCCATCATGGCTGTCGCTTTCGTGAGTCCAGCACGACTACGCGGGTTGCCGAGATCAAACGACACGGTAAGTGAGTTGCTTAGCTTCCCAGGTTTTGGGAAGTAGTAGGTCTGGGTTGGTTGCATTTGGGGCGCGTGGAGTAGGTCTCGCTTCCCACTGAGACTGCGATTTTTGAACAGAATTCAAGTCTTTCTGATGTGCTAGTGACACACTCGTGGTACTCTAGATCGCCTGTCGGTCCCTGAGGCTCAATCTTGAAACCGTATTCAGCATATCCTTTGCACCATTCAGTCCCGAAGCTGTACTTGTCGCCCACAGGGGTGACGAAAGCATCGGCAAATACTTGAAGTCCGTCATCGCCCTCTCCCATCAGGTTAGCGAGACTGCCACACTTAAGGCTGTCGGTGATCATCTGCTTAATCACCTTCTCCTTGACCCCACGCTTTTCCAGCATCAGTGACATGTTTGCATAGACTAGCGTTAGGTTGGTGATGAAGTTCAGTATACTCGTTCTGCGGTCGCCACTTTCTCTGATCATGTCCCAGATCACTGCCTTCACGACATTCTTCACCGAGATGGATGCCTTGTTCTTTATCCTATCTCGGATCGCCGCGTTGAGCAGACTGTCCTGCCCCTCGGCACTCATGATCTTCATGAACATGGATATTATGACGTCGTTCTCAATCAGGTCGCGGCATTCTTTCGTGCAGCTTCCATCGAACGCGCCAAAATCCATGCTGCAGGCATGATCGTAATTTCGCATCATCTCGCCCATACGCCTCCCGAACTCCCTTCGGGAGGCGTGTTTGAGCGATCTCTGCTCGAACAGTGGGTTATTGAACAACGCATGTTCCAATAACCCACCGTCCAGAATGTGGCGGACCACCCCTTCATCACCGGAGGTGATTATCATACGGGGTTTTTCTTTGGATAATGCCTCGTTAGGTTTCACATGAGCCTTACGAGGCAATTCCCTTGGTGCGTCGACGCCAGCGACCCTGAGGGCTGTGAGGAACCGCTCTTCCGTCCACTTTCCGGACTTGAACTCCTGAGGCAAGGTCTCGAGTATGTCGTAAGCGAGTGTGATGGCACCACTATCAACGCAAGATTGCATTAGCTGCTGCTTAATAAGCGAGCATGCCCTCTGGATATGGCGTTTGCCAAGTGCCGTCATCACCCCAACGCCCGATCCCACCTTGAAGTGTCGGTCTCTCATTGCCTTCAGAGAATTGCCGATTGTCGGCTTTGCAACATAAACCCCGGGGATATTCCCGCTCTCAGGGACGGGTTCCCATGACGCGCAGTGTGCACGTGCCTCACGAGTGGCACATCCACTGATCTCGCTCTCCTCAAGGTTCAGCTGACCCTCCTCTTCAATTGCTTTTCGCATCTCCTTGTGGCCAGCCTCTTTGAGGCTGTCTCGATAATCGAGCCAAGCTGCACCTCCACGAAGTGGTACTTCGGCAGTTTCCGATAGGTATGAGGTATCCCCTATCGTGTGCTCCTGACCCGTGACAGCTGTGGGGTGGATACTGAAGCTAGTGATTGGGTTCTCAGGTGTGCTCCTGTGGTCACCACGGTCGACTTCCTGCGGATCTCCGATGAGCACCTCATCTTTCCGCTGCTCATCGAATGTTGTGTTCATTTCACGAGACGCATTCCGTCCAGCATCCAAATCCTGCTCGGTAAGTCGGCGCTCAGCACAGGTTTTAGGGTTTAGGCTTTAGGGTTTTAGGGTTTTAGGGTTTGGGGTTTGGGGTTTAGGGTTTAGATCTACAAGGGTTCCTTTCAGGGGTCCTGTAGGGCGATCTATAAGGATGATGTACGGGCGCTATCAGGGTAGAGGCCTTGTTTAGGGTTGAGGATTTAAGTTTGAGCGTCTAGGGTTTAGGGCTTAGGGCTTTGGATTTAGGGTTTGCGCTTGAGGGCTTTGGATGTAGGTTTGAGGGTTGGGGGTTGAGGGTTCAGGGTGGAGGGTTCGATAGGGGGTTGGTGGATTTGGGAAGGGTGCCTTAACTTGATTCATATACAGTTTTAAATTATGGATTTAACATGAGGGACCTTGATAAGTACCAGGAAAGGTTTAAAGGTTCATAGAATATGATTTTGAGTACACGCAATCGCAATATAGAGCGCTTCCCTAGGCAACATGGTACAGTAGCATATGGCTTCATAGCCCCATAAACTGTAGCATACAACCTTTAAAGTGCTCGGTCATAGCCCCATAACCCTAGGGCACAGCCTTCTAAGCAGCAGGTAATCGTGATCCGAGAGACGGGCCTGGCTTCAAAGAAAAGAGCTTGGGTCTCGCTTGTCAGACCCCTACTTGGGAGGCCATCCTTACCAAACAGGGGGATACTTCCTAAACCCTAAACCCTAAACCTTAAACCCTAAACCCTAAACCCTAACTCCTATTAAGGCTTCCGTTAAAGGAACTATAAGGGCTCCTATAGGGGTTTGGTGTCTAGGGTTTGTAACTTGAGAGGGCTTAGGGCTCCTTTAAAGGAACCATAAGGGCTCATATAAAGGATCTGCAAGGGGACTATGTAGGGTTTAGGGTGTGCTTGGAGGTTCCTGGGTAGTTCTAATTCATAGGATGGCTAGGGTTGAGGGTCTAGGGTAGTTATAAGTGGGGTTACGAGTCCCTTAATTTGGGTTATATCTATAGCTACCCTACTGAGAAATCCGCTTAGGACTGCCCATGAACCTCCAAGTACTTAGTTGCTGAGTTCTTAAGCATCAAAAAATGCACACTTTCAGTTCTATAAGGGATCATCGTATCCCAAAAAGTTGGAAAGTGCCGTAATTCAGCTACTAAGCGTAGGTTCCAGAACCCTGAGACTTAGAAGTCGTCGGCCTGCAGAATCATACTAAAGACCCTAAGCAAAGAACTCAGTGTTTAGGGTTTAGGGTTCAGGGTTTAGGGTTCAGGGTTTAGGGTTATAGTCTTAAAATCTGCTAGGCTTAAGCTTTGTTTCAGGCTTGTGTTGCGCCTTTTCTGACGTTGTTCAAGGTTTAGGGTCCAGGTTAAGGGCAAAACAAACACACCAAACACCCAAACACAGGAATGCTACAACCTAAACCTGCAACCGGAACCACACGCCAACAAAAGCCTAAAGTGCCTTCTAAACCCCCACACCCTAGACCCCTACAGAACCCTGGCAGCGGACGTAGAAACCCTGCCAGAACCCTTAAGCCTTTGTAAACTACGTATTAAACCCAGAACCCAATGAATGGCAGTGGCCAAAGCCTCGACGCTTCACCGCTTTGCCTTGTATGGCTCAGGATTTCAGTTTAGGCTAAACGTTTAGGGCTAAACGTTTAGGGTTTAGGGCTTATAGAGATGGATTTAAGGACTGAATGTTGAGATTTTCGGGATGATGGCCTGACTATACGTATTTCGATCAGAGTCTCATGTAGGTTTATCAGACTTCAGGAAAGTGTTCGGGGCTTTGGAAACTCGGACCATAAACCCTAAACCCCTGAGCCCTGAACCCCTAAAGGAAGTGTTCAGGGCTTTGGGAACTCAGACCATAAACCCTAAACCGGATCCCTCAAAGGAACCCTAATTCCAAGCCCTACACCCTAAACTCTAGGTTTCGAAGTTTGGGATTTACTGCTTAGGAATGCAAGATTTTGGGCTCCGATTACGGACTTGGAGGAAAGTTTGAGAGTTTGGGGTTTAGGGTTGAGGCTTTAGGGCTTAGAGTTTAAGGTTTGCGGTTTAGGGGTGCTCTCGCTACAAGCACTGTGGCGTTCTAGGCGTCTGCAACTCGACACCCACAGGCATCCGAAAAATCGTATCAGTGCCCATGCCATGTGGCAGCTCACCGTGGCCCTGTACCGCTCTCAAGAGTGCATGATGAATCCGGACTTCTCACTATAGTCTTGGCCCCAACTTTCGATCGCGTCCGGAGGATCTGCCGTCTGCCCGGTGTGTCCACACGGAATCCGTTCCTCCGCGCCTGCGCCAGGATCCTCACCGAGTCCTTCTGAGGGTTTAGGGCTGTGCCTCGATACATAGCAGATCACCAAACCCTAAACCCTAATCCAGTGGTGCTTAGAGCCCTTTGCTTTTAGATCTTTTGGGCAGGGTCTCGTATTTCGAGCTGGTGGCTTAGGGTGGGGGTGAGGGACTATGACTATACTTCCTTAAATAGGCCTTATCAAGCCCCAAAAGGGGTAACCCCTGTGGGCCCTTAAACGAACCCTTGAAGGAACCCCTATAGATCCCCCTAGGGGTCCCAGTGAAGTTGTAGGTCCATACTGCAGTGTTCATGCTGTCAGTCTAGGTTTGCAGATAGATGGCTTCGTAGCATAGGCGATTTTGGGTCTAGGGATTAGGGTTTGGGGAGTAGGGTGTAGGGATCAGGGTTTAGGGATCAGGGTTTAAGGTTTCGGGCTTACCGTAAAATCTACACTCATCCAGGCTTCTTTGAAGCCACAGGGGGCGATTTCTAAGTAGGGTTACAGGTTTGTTGTCAGGTAGCCCCATCAGGGCCCAAGGCACAAGGACTCATATAAAGAAAACATAATGAGGAACCCTAAGAAGGTGGGTTATTTGGGGTTCAGGTAAACCCTAAACCCCCAGGAATCCTTAGATCCTAAACCCAACCCCCTTAAAACCCTAAAAAACCTTCAAAAAAAGCCTTAAAACCCTTAAGCAAACTCCTTTAGAACCCTAAGAACCACTAGTACTAGGAATCCTTAGAGGCACTCCTTGGGAGCCCGTGGCCAGGGCCCCACACGAACTTTGCGCACGGCGATGCTGTCGCCAGCTTTCCGGCCGCTCCTGAGGCTAAGCATGGGGGTTTTAATGATTAGACTACGGTTTAGGGGGTGTAGGGTTTAGGGTTGAGGGTTTAGGGTTTAGGGGCCTTAATAATTAGAATAGGGTTTTGGGGGGTTCTCTCCTGAGGCTATACATGGGGGCCTTAATGATTAGAATAGGGCTTTGGGGGTTGAGGGTTTAGGGGCCTTAATAATGCCTCTAAGCATGGGGGTTTTAATGATTAGACTAGGGTTTTGAGGGTTTGGGCTTTAGGGTTTAGGGGCCTTAATATTTTTTGAATAGGGTTTTGGGGCCCATTATACTATAATTACAGTAAGGAACCCCTAATTATTTAGGCCCCTACATTAAACATGGGTTCTTGGAGATGTGTCTAAAGGGGGTTAGGGTTTGGGGTTAGGGTTTAGGGCTTAGGGTTTGGGGTTTAGGGCTTAGGGGTTCCGGGTTTCGCGTGGATTGATGGTTTGAGTTTAGGGTAGTTGAGGGCTAAGGCCTTGTTGGGGTTTACGAGCTTGGCTTAGGGTTTAGCTAGAGTGGCCTATCTGCCCAAGTCAAGCTTAACACCCACGAATTGGCAGCCCGCCCTGTTGCGTTTCGGGTGTTTCGTTTAGTGTGCAGGATGCCGTGCCCACGTCGTTAGTGTCTCCCTCACCAACGTCGTCAGCGACGACATCGACACCAAAACCGTCATCACAATAATAACCTTCCCTGCCATCCACACAATGTCTTCACAACGGTCTTTGACGTCCAAAACCCCCATAATTGCCAATATTTTGCTATTATTAACTTGGTATATACGATTAGTCTAACTATCATTGCTATCATTGCTATCATTATTATGATTACTATTACTATGATGATTATTATCTTTATTATTGCTACTATTATCATTATTATTATTATTACTATTATTATTATCATTACTATTATTATTATTACTGTTACTGCTTATTCTTAAACCTCCCAACCTCCCTCTCTGAGCTGGCCACTTCTCTTCGACTGCCGGGGCCTCGCAGGTCGGGCGCAAAACGGTTTATCGGGGCACGTGGTTTTAACTGGAGCTTCGGAGATTAGGGTTTAGGGCTTTAGGGTTTCAGGGTTTAGGGCTTTAGGGCTTTAGGGTTTAGGGTTGAGGGTTGAGGATTTAGCGTTTAGGGTTTAGGGTTTAGGTTTCAGGGCACTTGGTCCTGGTTTTAACTGGAGCCTCGGAGATTAGGATTTACCTATAGCCCCCATTGTAGTTCCTTTTTGGAGGTTACCTCTTGGGATCCTTCGTATAAGATTGGTTATAAACCAAAAAACGGAACAACAATGGAGACTATGGGTAGGATTTAGACTTTTGTTGAAATGCGTTTCTCTCCTTTGCAAACCCTAAAAGCATTGAAACCCTAAACCCTAGAACTCTGAACCTTCGGGTTCATTTGGCTTTGACGGGATTTTAGACTTCGATGTTCGGCTGTAGACCGGGCTTTGGACGGTTGGGGACGGTTCGAGATTTTGGTTTAAGTTTCGAGAGTTAGATTTCCTTCCGGGGTTCTGTAATACTGTAAGGGCTCAATTCGGGTTTAGAGCCCAGGGTTTCGGTTGCAGGCAAACCCTATAAACCCCAAACCCTAAACCCTAAACCCTTAACCCAATAACCCTAAACCCTAAACCCTATAAACCCTAAACCCTATAACCCTATAACCCTAAACCCTAAACCCTGTTTAAATCTAAATCGTTTCAGGCATGTCATGACTTATCAGGGTCTACTCACCGTTGCAATTGATGTTACGACTCGTAGCCCCCCAAACCCTAAATCCAGTAACCTAAATGTTTGGACCCAAACGGAAATCCGAAAATCAAACCCCAAACCCTCAACGCAAACCCTAAATATCCCTAAGCTCTATTAAAAACCGTATGAGAAACACCGCTATAGAACCCTTTTAGATCCCCTGAACCCGAAACCCTGAACCCTAAGTCCTATAAGACCCCTAAAAATCCTGCCTCGTCCATCTCTTAAAGGAACTCCTATAAAATCCTTAAAGGAAGCCCTACCTTAAGGACGAAATCAACCCTTTTAGGGTTTGAGGTTCATATACCATATAGGAATTCATAGTGTAAGGGTATAGGGCCCCTACCTTTGAGGGTCAATTCGTCCTTAAGGTACAGATTCCAAAAAAAGGAAGCCCTATGAATCCCCGGAAGGAACCTTATCCCCAAAGCTCTCGAAACCCAAAACCCTAACCACCCTAAACCCATAAACCCTAATCCCCTAAACCCCAACTACCCTCTACCCTCAACCCTAAACCCTAAACCCCTAAACCCTAACTACCCTCTACCCTCTACCCTAAACCCTAAACCCTAAACCTTATCCCCAAAGCTCTCGAAAGCCAAAGGCCTTCGGACGCAGCTTCGGGTCTTTCGCTGGAGGCGGCCCCTGTTGGCCTCTGAGGTTTCGGGGTTTGGGGCTCTTAGGGGTTTAGGGGTTTAGGGGTTTAGAGGTTTAGGGTTAGGGGTTTAGGGGTTAGGGCTTTAGGGTTTAGGGGTTTAGGCGCTTAGGGGTTTAGGGCTTCGGGGTTTTAGGGTTTAGGGCTTTAGGGGTTTAGGGTTTGGGGTTTAGGGTTTAGGGTTTTGGGGTCTTAGGTTTGGGGGTTTTCAAGGGCTTCAGTGTGCCTTGATGGGCTTCTTCAAGGACTCCGTTAATTCAAGGGCTCCTTTAGGGAGTTAGGGGGTTTAGCGTTTTGAATGGGGCTTTGGGTCTGTAGAGGTTCACCCAAAACCCTAAACCCAAGGTTTTGAGATTTGGGGATTCCGCCATCAATACGGAAGGGGCACTGGTTTTAGGTCCACGCAATCGCACAGCACCGGATCCTAAACAGGAACCTAATTTACACAACTACCCAAATGCTTGAGCTCTGAGATTCTGGATTTGGGACTTAGGCCCGTCGGACGAGGCACCGTGCGCATTTTCCCGGGTTTGGGAACTCAACCGTGGTCATGTTTCTTATCCTGGCTGTGCTTTCTTGCACGATGGCTATGAGGATGGCAGGAGTTATATATGGGTAGTTCTCTACATTAGAGTCCCTTTTTAGGTCCCCAATATAGTACGGCACCCTTATATAAAGAGCCCCCAAAAGGGACCCTAATTTCGAGAACTACCCAAATGGCGATGAACATGACTATAAGCATGATAGGGGCCATTGCCATGCTACGCTCGTTTTGATCCGAAATCATATAAACCCAACCACTCAGCTCGAACCCCAGAAACCCCTAAGCCTCCAATGCAGACTCCCTGAACCCTAAACCCCAAAGTGCCCTCACAGGACGCCCTTTTAGGAACCCTTGCAGCTCTTTCAAAGGAGCCCTAAACCCTAAAACCCTAAACCCTAAATCCTACCAACCCTAAACCCTAAACCCTAAATCCTACCAACCCTAAATCCTAAACCCTAAACCCTAAATCCTACCAACCCTAAATCCTAAACCCTACCTTAAACACTCAGAACCTACTTTAAAGTGGGTTCTATGTCAGGAACCTGGTTATCCAAGAGATGTCCTTCAGAACCGGGTTTCTATATGTAAAACCTGGTTATTCAGGAGAACCCACTTTTTATGTTGGGTATGGGAGATTATGCAAGGGTTTAAAGCCTTCAGCGGCGATTGTGCCAAGCCGAATGCATGCTCAGACAGGGTCAGGTATTGGATCGAGCTCTTTTGTCCCCCGGAGATGAGCGATGACACTCGGGAGTCCGGGGCCCGGCACCTGCTCGCAGGGAAAGTGTGGCTTCAAGTTGTGCATGTTGATGATTTCAGATTGCTCCTGCGAGGCTTTTATCAGGATTTTGCTAGGCTGCTAGGACGTAGCAATCATGGCCCGTCGTATGGAATACGATGGACTTGTGAAAGAGTGGGATGCCTGTGAGTCCATCCGCAATCGGCTGCGAGGGGGTGGGTTCTTGGAAGACACAAGTCTCGGCGACGAGCCGAACAACAAGGTATGCGTGCTCAATCAGGATGTGATCGTTCCACTGCTTGTGCGAATGGTGCCAGTTAACTTGCAGCTCCCGATTGTTGAGCAGTTGAGAACTGTAGTTGCGAAGCTCTACGAAGACAACCAGCGCCAAGTTGACGAAAGCCGGGTGGACGACTCAGCATGGTTTTGTCGCAAGCTGGTTGTGCACGTGAAGCGCAAGGCACAAAAGAAGCTTGTGTCCATGGCTCCTAGGCTAGTACTGAGTAATGAACTTTACTGTTTGTGATTTCCAATCATTCAAAGCGATTCATTTGGAGGTTCCCATCCTAAAGTCTCCTTGTCAAGGATATGGACTTTCAAGAGCTTTGCTTGGTGCTGAAGCCGGAGCTACAGGATCGCACTTACCAGGGCAAGGCAAACCACTGTTCTCAAACAGCCCAACTATCTGTAAACCCATGCGGCCGCTCCAGGATCTGGTCGACGGCATCCGTGCGCAGCAGGCAGAAGACGATCCTGAAGATGCTGGTGATGAGCAGGTGCACTTTTAATGGGTCGTATTAAGGGATCCTTACCTGGAACACTGTGGCTCGCATCGACAGGCTGAGGATGAATCAGAGCTTGCACCGGCTGCTCGTGAGGTTGAGCCGGAAACCCCAGCCGTGCCTAGCCCACCCCTTGCGGAGCCAGCCCCAGCCGAGCCAGCCCCACCTGCCAAGCCAGCCCCACCTGCCAAGCCAGCCCCACCAGCCAAGCCAGCCCCGCCGGCCAAGCCAGCCCCAGCACTCAAGCCGCCGTGACACCATCCTCAGGTCCATCCCCACCGCCATCGACAGCCTCGTCCCGAGCTCCGTCCCCCACAGCTCCCAGTAAAGAACTTGAGGACAAGGCTCGACCCACGCGCCGCGACTCTGTGGCAAGCCTCGTGAGCACAGAAGCCCCTAGCACTCCTGGAGCCTCTTCGCAGCCAGCCTGGCACAATTTATTTGTTTGGGAACCCACTGAAGTCCGGGCAGTCTTTGCATGGGGCTGCAGGGGTTCGCATGATGAACAGCTCCAGTTCTTGATAAAGGCATGCTTCATGTGCATGCGCTGGGAGTGAACCTGAAATCGCCGAAGCCGTTTTGTTGTTGGGGTCTTGTAGTCGGTAGGGAGACAATGCTTCGAGTCGATGAGCTGGTATACCGGCTCTTCATTCTGGGGGCTCCTCGGGAACCTGTGCGGCAAGTGGGCGTGTGTAGCATCTTCGTGCAAGCGTGTTTGTGTGTGCACAGCCATATCAACAACAAGCTAGTGCAGCTACTTCTCATGCACACCATAAGAAACACATCGCACGATCCGGACGAGGAGTTCGTTTCTCTCGTTCTCCTGGTGATATGGAACAGCGGGGTGCTCTACGATATGCGCCAGGCGCTTGAGGGTTTATGCTGTGCTGTATATCGAACATCTGGCTGCACCTTCAATATGACATTCAGGTTGGTATGATCGTGTAGGTGATGAAGAGGGAGGGACAGAGAGAGACAAAGGTATGCGTATGTGTTCCACTCCTCTTCCCTCTCTCCCTCTCTTGATGTGGCTCCGCTTTTGGTGTATGTAGGCTTCACCGTCATCACTCTCGTGGCTCCGTTTTGGGACACCTTTTTTTTGCAACATAATTAGTGTCTCGCTCTCTCTCTCTCTCTCTCTCAATCTCTCTCTCTCGCTCTCTCTCTCGCTCTCTCTCCCTCTCTCTCTCTCTCTCTCTCTCTCTCTCTCTCTCTTCTGTCTATGTATATATATATACACACACGTATGTATGTATGTATGTATGTATGTATGTATGCATGCATGCATG